CATAACGAAAATGTGAAAATTTCTTCAATTGTTAAATCATTCTTGTTACGACACCGAAACAAAAAATATTGTCATGCAACAAAATCACTTAACTACACAAACTATACAATACGAAAATTTTTTGATGTTTTTTGAAAACATATATTTTTGCTTTATAATTAAGTCACTTCAGTTTGGATACTTTGTACTCCAATCTTGTTTTCCTTTTTCCTGAACTGTCTGAAGACCCGTAGTATGGAGACAAATTGTAGGTAGAATCTCTTGACATATGAGTCCTTCAATTAACATACTTATAAAAATAATATAAATTTCAGACAATGATCTACACTTTTCATCCGTATAATACTCGTAACATAATCCACGATAACATATATAATATCAGTATGCCATGGCTCCATTGTCTTATTAGCTAGTTGACAAAGAAAAATTATCATAAATTATTTGGCTGGTCCACTGTATCCATCAACTCTACAGCTACATATCCGAAGATGGTGTATATGTTTAGACTATATAACATTAACCTATTGTAGCCTAATATTATTTACTTAGAAAACATCAACTCTAAAACCTTATTAATTTTGTAGACTCGTGGAAAACTTAGTTTGCGCTTGGCATTAAAATTTAACTACCATTGAATAAAAAGCTCGCCAACTAATTATTAATATCTAAATATAACATATATAGAGTTTTTTTTTTTTTATTAAAACATATATAGAGTATTAGAGTGAAGACATACGAGTAACTAAAGTAAAAGAGAACTTTCCCCGTCAAAGTCTCTCCCTCTTTACTCATGGTTCTCCACGTAGCTTTCTCACATTCAATGCTTTAACCATATACTCACACACGCATATAATATGTATATGCGACTCTCTTTATATATGCGTACGTGCGTGTAAATCTACAAACTACTCTCCCACCAAAAAAAACAAAAAACTCTCTTGATTTCTTCTACTAATTATACATATCCTACATAGATTTTTGCATATATATGCGTCCGTATATGTGCGTGATGGAGAGAGGAAAATGCTTGATGTCCATGAAGCTTAGACCGGTGGTGACGAGGCCGTCTTCGGACACGGCTTTGTTTTGGCCGTTTGGGGAAGAAAGAGCGTTTACGACGGTTGAGGAGTACGGCGGTGGAGGTGGTTGCATGTGGCCACCTAGGTCTTACTCGTGCAGCTTTTGCGGGAGAGAGTTCAAGTCGGCGCAAGCACTAGGCGGTCACATGAACGTTCATCGAAGAGACCGAGCTCGTCTCAAACAACAATCATTATCATCTTCATCAAATGACCAAGCCACGCCTCTTGAACATGATCAACAACAAGAAGTTCTTGATGTAGGATCAAAGGTTCTTGTCCAAGAAGAATCAAGAAAGCCTAATGGAACTAAGAGGGAGATAAGTGATGTTTGTAATAATAATGTTCCTTTGAAAAGATTTGAGCATTACAATGATGAAGTCAAGACTGATTTATCGGTCGGTCTACTGAGCTCTGATCAGTTCGATACCCGGAAGAAGCAACTAATCAACGGATCATCTACGTCGTGGAAGAGAGCAAAGACAGATGTTTCAAGATTGCCAATGATGTTAGAGTTGGTCATTGGAGTCTCCAAGATCAACGGTCATCATGAGGAGTTGGATCTTGAGCTAAGGCTAGGAGCTGATCCGCCAAAGGTTAACTAGCC